TATATATTTATATAAAGGCATTGAGATTTACCGAACTGTCGGAATGATCCTTCTACTTTACTCATTTACAGGCACACGACCAGGCACATACACAATACGTGTACCTGCGGGGGTGAATGATGTGGTGCACGGCCTAGTATCGCTTTCATATGATTCCCAGGCTGTCCAGCCAAATGATGGCTCCAAAACTGTGACTGTAAAGGAAGGCAGCCACCTGAATGCTGGAGACTTTACCTACAATGTCCCTGGAACTCTCTCTGGTATACTTACGGTAGGTACGTATGACAACCCGATACCGAACATCGCAGTGAAGCTACTTGGTGCCGAGGGAGTGGTGGCCGCCAGTACGACGACCAATACGAAAGGGAGGTATTCGTTCAAGGAGCTCCTTGTGGGAAGCTATTCTGTCACCGGTATGCTGTATATGAAATGTCAATTTCTGCCAGGTATACTGGCTTTCTAAATTACAAATCGTCAGATCTCTTCTGGTTGGTTTGAAGCCTTTCCATGGTATTCGGCACTAGTGATTAATGTGTGATCTTCATGTAGAACGTCAGGTCACATCACTGTAAGTCCTAGTTGCGGCTGTCTCGCTTCTTTGTGCTAAACGGGACAAGTTACTGTACTCATATACATTCACTCCAAGTCCGTACATGAAATTTATTCGAATCTTGGTTTGTCCCACGCGATCCCGCTATTTCGTGCTAAACGGGACAAATTACTATGCTCATACACATTCACTCCAAGTCCATACATGAAAATATATTCGAATCTTGGTTTGTCCCATGCCATCCAGTTGATTGCGCTTGGAAATACTCAATCTCTCACATCCGACCCTGGACTACACAACAGTACCACAAACGATCCCAAACTACCGAACCACTCTGAAGTCTGAGCCTTTCGCCGGAGACGCCACACTAGATGGTATCTACACCTGCAAACTGACTGTCCAAGAGCCGTCGATTGCTAATGTCAACTACCACTACGGGCAAGTATCTGAATATGCGGAAGAGCCTGAGACTGTAAGTGGAGGACTCAACTCTATAACCGGTGGTATATACAGCGGTTCAGAGGCTAGTCCCCTAGAGGGTATCGAAGTGGAGCTTACGGATGACGAAACCGGAAAGGTAGGCCAAATCTTGGCACAAATTGTGAACTAAAGAAATTCATGCGTTGTGTGTAGTCACCAAATACCTACCTATTCCGGCAGATATGTAGCTGTACGGACTACATGCGATGGAGGCCTTTTGTCATCCAGCTTAATACGATGTGCACACAAAACGCCCCGTGCGTTCGTGTTTGTTTTATATAATTGACCGTAGGGCTCCTCCGATCGTTCCTATAAATGAAATATCTGAAATACGTTTACTACATAGCGGTAGTACTATTCGCTCTGTGAAAGCTCAATCGTGATGTCAGTACTGATCTCTTTTATTAAACACAACACATGCTACAACAGGTGGTCGCCTCCACCAAGACAAATGCCAATGGCCAGTACGGATTCTTGAAAGTAACGCCCAATAAGTACTACTTAGTGAGCACTCCCGCAACTAACCCAGAAGCCCGTACAGAGGTGCTGTCGAGGGATTACTACGACATGCAGCATTCTGGTACCAGAACACCGATGTTTTTTAACGCTGGACGCCTATTGGCTCACGTGGACTTTGTTTACGCACCACCCAATCAGATCAGCGGAAATATCCGTGACGCATCGGGTGCAGGACTTGCGGGCGTAAAAGTGGTGTTATCGCATCCCAACCGATTGATCACCACGGTACAGTCCACAGACACCAACGGCCATTATACCTTTGTAAATATTACGAAAGGCGGCAACTATATGATTAATATAGCTAAGCCACAGGAGTATACCTATCTCTTCGACTGTTACGACGAAGAATATAAGCACTCGTTGCTGGATGGGGAGTCTACAGTACCGTACACCGGTACGTCTGTGAGTGGGGTTGATTTCTTTCTGGTGCAGAACGGTGGTATCGCCGGGTCGGCACGTATGGCAGATGGAACACCAATGGGACATGTCAAGGTCACACTCAGAGCTAAGCAAATCCAGGGAGAGGGAGCTGCAGACGAGTTCGGTGTCTATACTAACTCGTATGGTTTATACGTGTTCTTGGATATGGCAGTGGATGAGTACAGCGTGGCTGTACATGAAGGCCCACAGTTGGAAACACTGGAGTTGATTAGTAATGTGATTGATGGTGGGGATGATAATCAGACTCCGGGTACACAGGATGTCTCGTTTGCGACCACGCAGTCTTCTCTCATACTACGGCCATTTTTCTACGACAAGAAAGCCAAAGAAAGTACTCAGAGTGTCGATAACAGTGACGTTCAAACACCAGAGAAGGGTGAGACAGATACGACAACGGGCGATACGAATGGGGTGGGTGGTGAAGGTAGCATCACAGGCGAAGTACTGTCCGCCAGCGCACTCGACCCTTTAGGTGCAGTGGGTGTGCAATTGGTGGATACCAATGGAGACGTACTACAGACCGCCATGACTAATGAGAAGGGCGTGTATACGTTCTCTGGGCTGAACTTTGGTATATACGAAGTTGCCTGTCCTCTAGAGACCACAAGGTGTGTTGATATCAATACTAAAACGTATACGATGTATGCGCAATATAACTATCTGTTCTGAGCGTACTATGTAAAACCACACACAGCCGAATGTCCTATCAATGTGTTGTCTTATGATATGCGCAATTTATACTATGGTATGTCACTTTTCACCAGTGGACACAATTCAGATTGGTTTAATTCTCTCTCAATGTATCATAGTGTATACTTCTAATTAGTTGTAATAAGTCTAGTAGAACTCGACCCCGTCAAATGTCAAGTCAGCTTTGATATAAAGGATCATACAAATCAAATACTAGTGTCAGAGTTCATAGATATACATCTTTTTTGTTCTGCATACCGTTCGTGACATTTACCTACCCACAATTCCTTGCACTGTTTCGCGTCAAACTATGTCATCGAGCTACAGGTACGGCCATCAATTTGTGTCGATGCACAGGTATACAAGTCTCGAATGAAAACCATGGTTTATCATAGCCTTAGACCTATATAAATGTTTGTTTTTTCTATCTAGCATGGGTAAGGCATTCAGCATGGTCGATGACCCCGACCACAATGTGGACGGAAGAGCACGTCACGTCGATGTGGTCCAAAGTGTTGCTACAAGGTTGCCACCCTTCATGTTCTTGGAGAAGCTCTCTTCACAACTAACCACTTCTGGCGATAATGGTCGTGCTGTCGAAGACACACAAATGTTACAGTTGGACCCAGAGGTTTGGGGTAGTTGGATTGCGGAGAGTAGAGCCTGTGACAGTACCGGGATTGGGACGGGTACGAAATGTGGCTCCATCATCCGATTTGTAAGTGAATTCATCTAGTTTGTATGTTTGCCAAGTAGTGTTACTATCATACATGGTGAATGTAATATGGGCAACGTATGTATATAAGCCTTGGCCTAGTTTATAAATCATGTACTGGATTTGAAATTTTCTACCAAATTTTGCTTTCATACTGTCGCTCAGTTTTATGTATTTGGCGGTTTTCTAGCTCTATCGCACTTTGTATCTCTCTGCGCTTCGGATTCACAGTGTTCCTTTCCGTGCTGAGTTCTTCCTATAGCTTGTAGTGGCCAAAATTTTGGCAACTGCGAAGTAGTTGCCGATTGAGTTTTTCATTTGGTTTCAGTGTCACATGTCTTCCTAATGTTAAAGTTGTAACCTGTGTTGGCTGATATCGATCGCACCCGAATTACCGTTTTATGAGCACGTAGTAAATTGTTCTTGCGATCATATGATGCCATCCCACAGGCTTCGCTTTCAAACTCTACTACGCACGTACACACAAAGTGATTGTTACTAAAGCGTACCATGCCGAAATGTTGAGTATTGTGTACGGATGATGCATATTATATCCCACAATTATTCCACAATTCAAGACATATTAATATCACATGTATTTATTTATTACTTCATGAGGAAATACCGTATCTCGATGTATTCATCTCTACCTCCATCACTATTGCACGAAACTAGCAACACATTCTATTCTACAATAAATCATTCTTAAACACTTACTCCATATATATAGGCGGTAGAGAGCTGCCAAACTAACACCATGTACACCTTAAAAGATGTGGCTATCGGTTGTGAGATCACCCAGAGCGACAGCAGCGCGTGCCAAGCCTTCAGTGAAGACTCAATCGATATTACGTTCTCTGTCACGTCGGATACTCCGTGCGATGACACACAACAACATAAATGTAAGTGAACCCGAATGGGTTTGGGCAATATATGGCTGAAGTTTTTAGAACGGATATGTTGCAAAATAGTAGTCATCCGTTTTTTTTAACATATTTGCCCGTTGACGTGGATTAAGGTATCGGGCTGATCATTTATTTCGTGTATACAGGCCATAAAGGCAACCGAGCTTATGCTGAAAGTAGACGACATCGTAGGCGAAATTAATATCTTTGTGGCATACTATACAGCTATCGTCAGTGAGGATGCACAAGTCGTCACTCCGATCGTACAGTTATACACGGAAGGGAACTACGCAACTGTGCGCACGCACAATAAGTATGAACTGGGTACCGTGATGCACGCGGGCATTCGCTTGTGGATCAACGACACGGGTAACACGGTCGAGCATGCGAATATTGTGCATATAGAGCGCGATTCTGATGGAGCGTGTGCGGAATACAATGGCATGTCCTACGGGTTCGACCTTGACATCAAGGATTTCACACAGGTAAGTTTCGATCTAAGTGAGCATTGAACGTATTCCTTTACCGTCGCCTGTCAGTATGCTGATCTTGTGGACAGAGTTCGTTTACGATTAGATGTGTCCGGGATACTTTTGCGGATAAATGGACTACCGCCTGTAAAGTGTTTGTGAGTTTGTGAAACGCTTTGTTTACCAATTTTGCCAGTCGCACTCTTTGGTTCGTTAAATTGATTCTCGTGCTGAAAGGGGAGGGAAATCGAATTTTAACAATCCAAACCCAAGACTACCTCGAGCAGTAACTATAGATCCCGCTTGTCTACCACAATAACAGACTTTCTCGCGTGCAAGCGCCGATACTTTTGCGGAGATACACTTGGAACTTCCCATCACACCTGACGTGGTGTGTGCAGTATCAGAGCAAGCCTCTAATACCGTCAAGTTCAGATTTACTGTACGAGTGGAGTACACAACGACGGACACGGATGGATCGAAAAACTTGGTACGAAGACGGCGAGATGTGCCTGTATCGTTTGAGCAGGACAGGTTCACTCGTTCAACGCTCATAGATGATGTCACTTGCAGTGTGGTGGTACTTGTGGAAAATACATCTGTCAATGTGGACAGAGTATCAGAAAGTCCGGAAAGTGCTACCGCTGTTACAGTCAGCCTGGATTCGAAATCTGATGCTGCTTCAGGCACAAGAACAAGCACAAGCAGTGTGGCTGATACGGGAAGCAGTGGAACATCTGCTCTAATGATAGTGGGTATAGTCTTGGGAGTGTTAGTCTGCCTATGTTGCTTATGCTGTGCATCGATGCTCATTGTTGTGATAGTGCGTCGGCGTAGACGAAAATCTGTGCTGCAATGGGAGGCGAAGCAGCGTTTCATCACGGGTTCATCGTGCAACATGAACCCGGATTCAACTGTCGGCTTGTCACACGCTTTCTAAGCGAAGAGTCGAGGGAACGGACTTGCAAAACCACATACAATAGTAATATAGCAGATAGATAAAAGCTACGCGTAGAGCGCCGGCGGACTAAGCAACATATTCAATTCAAGCTGCAATACTCTTTTATCCGTAATATTAAATTACCGCAGCGCTGATTTATCAAAATATACTCATGCAAATAGCCCACAATTGTAAAATTGAGTTACTACATGAAATTTTAGTTTGCATTATACTTATATAGCGATATCCGTTGCAACTTATTTGACTGCTCAGGTTAAGAGCTTTCCAAACGGGGAGGGGGGGGGACAAAAATGCCAGCAAATTGCAACATATAATTGAGCGACATACTACTCATAGCGGCAAAAATTGAATACTTATATAGTACCCGTTATGACCACAAGCGTTGTGAATCTGATGCATTGGACATATTCCTTGTACCATCGCCTGTCTGTATAGTAATCAGTACTCCACTTCCTGTAAAGTTTTTGTGAGTTTGTAAAACTCTTTGTTTAATAATTTAGGCTAGTTGCACCCTTTGGCCAGTTTTAATAGTTGTCGAGCTGAATTGGGGGGGGAGGGGAGGCGGGGTGGAATCGATTTCTCAACAATCCAAACCCTCCAAATATCTTGACCAGGAACTGTACATCCCGCTTGTCTACCACCAAACAGACTTTCGCACGTGCAAGCGCCGATGCTCTGGCGCAGAAACACCTAGAACTTTCCATCATACTTGACTCGGTTTTGCAATAGCAGAACAAGAGATTTACTGTACGAGCGAGGTACACAACAAGCACGGATGGAACGAATACTCAGTACGAAGACAACGAAGTGTTGTTTGAACAAGAGTCCCGCGAGGCGACGGTTGACAACTGAGTAACTCGCTCAACGCTCATGGAGGATATCACTTACAGTGTGGTGGTTCTTGTGGACAATACATCTGTCGATGTGGAAAGAATATCAGGAACTAAGGCAAGTACTATCCCTAATACAACCAGCCTGGATTCAAAATTTGATGCTGCTTCGAGCACAAGAACAGAAAAATAATTAACGTTGTTTCAGTCCACCAGATATGTATCGATGGTGTGGTACGTGATGGTTTCGAACTGTCTTAAATAGTGTTTTGGCAGGAGCTCTTTCGAAATACTTCAAGATTAGTAAATATTTGGTCAATGATGTACTGCTGTGAACAACAGCCCTTTTTTATAACTCGCTCCTTCTGTAGCTATATTTATCGCTTCATGGCTAACAAAGATACAAAACTATCAGTAAACCAACGGTATGGCAATATAAGTACCGGCTTTTATGATCCACAAGGCCATCGAGCCTAAATCTTTGAAATAAAATTAACATTGTCTGCCACGTCTTGCACTAATTTGCAGTGTTAATAAGTATAATATTTCGGAAGTCTACGGGCATCATATCCGAACTGGTAGATCGGATCATCATTCGGCCTTGTAAATTGCTAGAGACTATGTTCGGAAAAGAACACACGCACTGATTTACACACGACTATTATACTATCATCGAAGACGAGCTCCAAGGGAGTGACCGTGTGCTTAACACAACACCGAGCGCATGCACCGATTTAAAAAATGATTTTTATACTATTATCGATAACGAGCTCCAGGGGAGTACATTGTGCTGAACAGAACACTGAACACACGTACTGATGTAAATACACCAAGATTGTCCTTATTCCGTTCTACATGCTAGCGCCAAAATTACCTGTCGGCTTCAGCTCGCTATAGTACATTCCTATAGAAATAGTTAAATATGTAAACATATTAACCACAAGGCACAAGTGCGAACTGCGAACTATACTATTTATTTTTATTTCTTTACTGGCTAAACGGGCGAGTCACAATTAAAGATTTTCGCTCTTAAATTAAAGGTCGTGGGCCAATGGGGGATGGTCGAATTGATTTGTACAATTTTTGGTTATTTTTGAAAAAACTTTGATTAGTATGGTGCAGTCGGGTGTAGACTGATCTGGTAAACGACACGTGTCGCAATGAATGAGACGTGTCGTTTTAGAAAACGACACTGAAAACAATGCGACATGTCGTTGTCGCATTGGTCGCAATGGTCGTATTTGATCATTTCGACAGACCTTATTTTCGTTTTTTTTTGTGACCAACCATATGTTCCTAATCTTAACATTTAACATCGATTCAATGATATTTCCGTATATTAAAGACAGCTAATCATATTACATTTGCATTTTCGACCGCCTTTTTTTGTTGGGCGGGCTAGTATGTCGAGTTTCAGTTACTACTTGGCCTTGCTGACATCCTGACAATAAATATTTAGAAACTAGTAACTACTAACTTAGTATTTTTAGAATATTTTAATAAACTGTATATGTGTGTAGCTATGCGGTGTGATTATTCTATAGTTATTAAGTGTATAGCACGGTCTGTCATAGTATCACTACGTCAGTGTTACTTCAACTTTAACATCAGATACTGACACAACAGTCGTGCCCTTCTGCCAGTTACTTCAAGGACAAAAGTACCAACCGTCCAAAATTGACATCTCTACTGTCTCCAAACACTTAAAGTACTAACCGCCACATCATAGCTGTCAACCGACATGTCGCTTTCATCTGCGACACGACGTTTGTGAACGCGTCACATGTCTTTTATGAATGCGACATGTCGTTTACATAAACGACCAGTTTAGATGCGACATGTCGTTTTGATAAACGACACCAATTTCATTGCGACGTGTCGTTGTCGCATACCAGATCAGGATATAGATCACCCTACTTGGTCCTTTACTTTTATATATTTTTCTACGTCAAAAAATTGTAATTTTCAAAAACAAAATATCTAGTGTGATTAGGATTGTGTAAAGGAAGCCATTGCCGTAATAATAATAAAAATCGGCCATTTTGATGAGGCCAAATATCCGACCATGACAGCCGATGTGGTGGCCAATATTTAGATTTTCGACAGTCGGCGGCCAAAAAAATGAAACCCTGTTTTGTAAATTTAATATGTACATTGTCAAACCACAAAAGTGTTCACAAATACCACACTATGAAGAAGTGAAAGAAAACATTTCAACGAGTATCAACGGAGCTATACGCAACAGAGATTGTCGAAGAGAAGGTACTCTCTTACTGCAGTTGTACAAGGCTGCGAAGCCTGAACAGATCTATGTCGTGGGTTTGACATTCATCACTAATCAACTCTATATCACCAGGTTCAAACTCTTCATCTTGTACGACTGCAGTAAACCTTGTTCGTTTGTCTGTCCCGTAATTTATGTCTCTTCACCCGACCACCACTCAAGTGCCTTGACCTGTTCGACATGCTTATCGCAACAGAAAATACCAATTACAAGTGTGCACTGTCACATTATACATATAGTATAGTACAATACGGCTACTTGTCATAATAGTGTTTTCTAACTTTGTGAGTGACACATGTCAATATGGACTATTGGATAATTGTCAAGTATTTTGGGGTATTAAATTGTACCATAATCGACCCTAAAGATGTCTCATATCGACCCAAATAATGGCATATCCAAAATGTCAATTTTTGAGATATTTGGTTTTGGTAGAGCTCGAACCAAACATTTTTTCGAAAGAGTTTCCGGGTGATTTTCAATAACAAGTCAGTACAAGCCGTTTCCGCTATCTAACTCCTCGAAAGGGTCTTTGAAGTAAGGTGATCTATATCCGACTGCACCGTAGGAGACAAATATGTAGAAGGGGTTTTTTTAAATAAAATAAAAAACAGAACGGAACGCGTAAATGTTATTTTTAAATGTTTTTGTTTTGTAAATAAAAAAATAAAAAAATATTCAATTTACCCATATTTAGCCTCTATTGTATTGTTTTTTTAATTAAAACAGCTACAATTTACAGCCTTCTGAAAATAGAACAGAAGGACTATGCAATTTATCGTACACTTTTTTTTATATGGGTTTACATGTTTCTATTTTATATATATAAAAAACTAAGCTATGAATTATGCCTTTTTATGCCGCTAATAAAAACTTTTTATGCCGCTAATAAAAATGTTCTCAATATTTTACAAAATAGATTTTATAGAAATTAAAATAAATGAACGAACAATGAGATGGACTCGGATTCTCGAGCATTGGAGTTGCGGACAATTTGACAAGAGAAAAATCAAAAAGCAAAAATCTTTTGGACAAAACAAATTATGGCGTAGGCCGTAAGCAAGCAGCAGGCATCATGCCGCGCGCGGTCAGGTAAATTGGGCGTCACCGGCTCCACCGCGCCCCTCGGCCGTCGCCCGTCAGTGATATTCTTGAAATTTGAATATGCAAATGCCATTCTCAAATTCATACATACCAAGCAAAAACCGTAAAAAGGAAGCAAATATTTGAGTAGATCACAAATTATGTAAAATATGTAAATAGTCACAGATCAGTGAATTAGTATCCACCACAGTTCCACAGTATATCCGCACATGATGCTAGGAGTGGAACTATTGGTTTATTAGTTTTGAAGTTCAGACTTTTTTTGATTTTTTTACAATTGTCTATTTTAAAAATATAATAACAAAAAAAAAGTACGTAAATAGATCTCGCAGCTCACTGACTCACTCTGATAATTTTTAAATCCATTCTCACACAGCAATAAAATATGAAATACAACCATTTTCATAGCGTTCTAGACAACGGAGACGGAGGCGGAGTAAATACGGACTTTGTAAAGGGGTTTTTCTTCTTTTGTTAGTTATTTGTGGTTCATCAGTATAAAAGTATTAACATCCGAGCCATAGTATTCCTATTATGTATATGAGGCTATGAGCCGAGTGAATTTTTTTTTGAATTTATACTGTTCTAAAAAACAAATTAGCGGTTAATGAAATCACAGAACAGGACAAAATCCCTTGGACCTGAAATTTACAAGCAGAACGGGACAAACCAAAATTCAACATTGTTGAACTGCAGTGCTCGATCATACATAGCCTTCTCTTGTATAATTTAGAAGAAGGCTATGAAACTTTACAAACAGAACGAGACAAAATTCAACATTGTTGAACTACAGTGCACGATCATACATAGCCTTCTCTTGCATAATTTAGAAGAAGGCTGTGAAGCGATATTTTTTAATATTATTCAGAAGTATGGATCCACGAATTCACGCTCACAGGGTGAACAGAACATTGGCTCTCTCCTGAGGCGTTGTATTCTATTTCAGGTGATAGGTGCAGATTATGTACCGAAAACTGATACTTGACTGTTGTATCGGTAAAGTTTTTTTTGCGAAGTGTACACGCTTAATAGTTCGGTGCGTACACGCTTAATAGTTCGGTGCTTGGGCCAAAGTCGCCTTACGTGGGCCCATAATTATCGACCCTACCTTTGCGAATGGACCGGATGCGGCTTTGGACACGAGCTCGGGCGTTAATAGTTTTATAGTGACAGGTATCGTATAGACAAAGTCGATATTGTGAATATTGCAGCGTTAATTAATTGTTTACGTTTAATTTTTGCCTCTGGACAAAAAGCCTGAAGATTCACGATTCGCACTGACTCATTGTGTCATAAATCATATATTTTTTGTCCAACTATTTATTAGACTCACACTGTGACTGAAGCCTGCACTCTGCAGTCTACTGTCCTCTGCAGTGACAGTCTGCACCAGGCCCGGCCAGGGCTGAGTCACCTGAGTGTAGTTCTGCACAGTAGCATTCAGACAGATATGTTTGTATGTATGTCGTATGACGTAAAATATGGATATAAAGTATTGTATGCTGATAAATTAAAAAAAGGTGATTAGGTGATGGTTGATCTGACGACTGACGCGAGTAGTGACTACTGACGAATGACAGTCTGAACTCTACAAACATTTTTTTTAAACGCTCAAAAAACAAAACTTTTTACGTTTACGTTTGAGCTGAGCTTTACTTTTATTTTAGTCCGAAAATATGGATTTTATTTCAATAAGACACCACGTCACCACAGACGACAGTCTGACGACTGACAGTGAGTCTTCACTCGTCACAGTCGTCAGTGGTGGCTTGTGAAGTTGTGAGTCGTGGTGACCTTCGTGAGTCGTGAGTTCGTGACTCGTGACTCAGTCAAGTCACTCAGGGCGTCTGCCGTCTAAGGCTAAGGCGCTAAGCTTATTACGAAATGGGGTGTTCTAGTTTCAGAAGGCAATGTATGGGGGTACGGAATATATTTAGTTTTTCTTCAAACGTTATCAGTGTTAGAATGTGATCAGAAGGGCCTACCTAAGTTATTTTGTAGGACACACTTGAATGTTTATACCCACAAGAATGTACACCTGTTTCCATAAAAAGGGCCGCATTTTAATTTTTAAGATGAACGTAAACGTATATTTATTCGATTTAAAAATCAGGTTTAACGGAAAACGGTTTGAGGTTAGGTCTAACTCCTAAGTACAGCCCTAAAAGTCGTTTTTATTTGTAAAACTACATATCACAAAAAAGAAATGCTCTTTTTTTTAAATAATATCCCGGGGTATTCTACTATATATTTACATACCTTTAACCTCTCTACTTCCTTCTGTATTTTACAAAACAAAAGACAAGACAAGATTGGTTGATCCAAGAACTGCATAACTGGAAATTGGAATACAAATGAGCATATAATAAAACTATAAATTCATCGTGAAATTATTCCAAATCGATGTGTTATTGCGCGATAAGACCCAGTAATCTTTTAGCTGTGATAAAAGAGTGTCAATTAATCTTGTTTTGGAGTTGAAAAATACCCCAACAGATCTCATTTAGATGAGTTACTATTGTACTAGAGAGTAGGTCTACCATTCTGCTATGCATGTATTAATAATTACTGCCAGTATGTATGTCACTATGTATAAGTATGCAGTATGTAGTGACATTTCGATTTGTTTTTTGTTTTACTTTTTTTGATTTATTTTTATTATTTCGCATAGAGTAGGATTGGAGATCCCTCGTGATGTACCTTGGCTTTCTCTACTACTACAAAATAGCTCGTATTATTTTTCTAAAAAATAAATCAAAAATGTAAATAGAGATGTATATATATATATATATATATATATATATATATAATATATATATATATATATATATATATATATATATAATATATATATATATATATATATATATATATATTATATCATATATGTATATATATATATATATATACTAGTATTATATACTAGTATAACGTATATATATATATATATAGTATATATAGTATAGTATATATATATATATATATATATATATATATATATACTAATA